TACATTGAAGCATATATGTGAACAGAATTTAGATAAAGGTAGGGAAGATTTTATTGCATATATGGATTTAGAAAAGGCATATGATAGAGTGGATAGGGGAGTAATGTGGCAGATGTTGCAAGTGTATGGAATAGATAGTATATTACTAAATGCTGTAAAGAGTTTTTATGAGGATAGTGAGGCTCAGGTTAGGGTGTGTAGGAAGGAGATTACTTCTCATTAAAAGTAGGTCTTAGACAGGGATGTGTAATGTCACCATGGTTAACATATTTATAGATGGGGTTGTAAAAGAAGTAAATGCTAAGGTGTTGGGGAGAGGGTTGGGATTAAATTATGAGGAATCAAATACAAAATGGGAGTTGACAGTTACTTTTTGCTGATGATACTGTGCTTTTGGGGGATTCTAAAGAAAAGTTGCAAAGGTCAGTGGACGAGTTTGGGAGGGTGTGTAAAGGTAGAAAGTTGAAAGTTAATATAGCTAAGAGTAAAGCAATGAGGGTATCAAACAGTTTAGATAAAGAAAAACTGGATATCACAATGGAGGGAGGGAGTAGGGAAGAAGTGAATGTTTTCAGATAATTGGGAGTTGACTTGTCAGCAGATCGGTATATGAAGGATGAGGTAAGCCATAGACTTGATGAAGGAAAAAAGGCAAGGTATCTGTGGAGGTATCTGTGGAGACAAAGAACGTTATCCATGGAGGCAAAGAAGGGAATGTACAAGAGTATAGTGGTACCAACACTCTTATATGGGTGTGAAGAATGGGTTGTAAATGCTTCAGCGAGTAGGCAGTTGGAGGCAGTGGAGATGTCCTAAGGGCAATGTGTGGTGTAAATATTATGTAGAGAATTTGGAGTGTGGAAATTAGGTGGTGGTGAGGAGTCACTAAAAGTAGTGGTCAGAGGGCTGAAGATGGGTTGCTGAGGTGGTTTGGTCATTTAGAGAAAATGGAACAAAGTAGAATGACTTGGAGAATGTATAAATCTACTGGGGAAGGAAGGCAGGGTAGGGGTCATCCCTGAAAAGGTTGGAGGGAGGGGGTAAAGGACATTTTATGGGCGAGGGACTTGGACTTCCAGCAAAGCATGAGTGAGCATGTTAGATAGGAGTGGATGGAGACGAGTGGTTTTTGGGACCTGACGAGCTGTTGAAGTGTGAAGGGATTCAGGGAAACTGGTTAGCCAGACTTGAGTCCTGGAAATGGGAAGTACAATGCCTGCACTTTAAAGGAGGGGTTTAGGATATTGGCAGTTTGGAGGGATGTCTAAACTGTCATATCTGAGCACGTCTGCAAAGACACTGATTATGAGTGATGGTGAAGGCATTGAATGATGATGAAAGTTATTTCTTTCTTTTTGGGTCACCCTGCCTCAGTGGGAACAGCCAGTGTGTTAAAAAAATAAAATGAAAAGGACCTGGAAAACCCTCTCTGAAATCTTGAGCTCTAGAAAACTGTCTAGAAACAGAGAGATAAACTTAACTAAACCATATGAACAACACATACAGCCTATAGATACTGCCAACCAACTTAATGTCTTTTTCTCTACTGCAGGATCAAAGCTAGCTAGCAAAATCCTAAGCTCAAATACTCAGCCGAATGACTACCTCACTGGTAACTACTCAAATACTCTATATCTAGCAACAACAAATTCTACTGAAGTCTCATTCATTATTAAATCATTAAAAAACAAGGCAGGAGACCTCAATAACTTGCCACCACTCGTATATAAAAAAACAGCTTACATGCTGTCACCCATTATTGCAACACTGTTTAACAAATCTGAGGAGTCTTCAACCTTCTCATCCACACTTAAGACAGCAAGGGTTACCCCAATCCTCAAAGGTGATCTAATTGAACTCAACAACTATAGACCTACATCAAACTTGCCCTTACTTTCTACAATCTTTGAAAAAATACACAAACGACTTTACTCCTATCTAATATCCCAAAACATACTTAACCCCTGCCAGTTTGGGTTTAGATTGAAAAAAAAAAGTATGAATAATGCTATTATACAAAAGCTCAAACTATATACAGCCCTCGAAAAAATGAATATCCTTTGGGACTCTTTATAGACCTACGGAAAGCATCTGATACAGTGGACCACAATTTCTTGCACGTAAAACTAGACCACTACAGCATCAGAGGACATTCCCTTGATTACCTAAAATCTTAACAATAGACACAAGCATGTATATGCAAGTGGAGTTAACTCCACTACCCAGCCTGTAGTTGTTGGGGTGCCCCAGGGTAGTGTCCTTGGCCCACTCCTCTTTCTCATCTACATCAATGATCTCCCCAATGCATCTTAACTCCTGCAACTATTTCTGCTTGAAGATGATATACTTATGTCTTCTCCAACTCAAACTCGGCCATACTTAGAGACACTGTAAACAACGAGCTGCAAAAAATATCTACTTGGATGACGACCAACAAACTCACTCTCAATATAGGTAAAACCCACTTCATGCTGTTTGGAAACAGAACCTTAAATATCCAACTTAACATATCAGTAAATGGTTCCCCCATTACAAGACACACTGATAAGTTTCTAGATCTTCACCTTAGCTGTAATCTTAAATTTCATACCCACATCCAGCATATATCCAAGAAAATTTCCAAATCAGTAGGCATCCTTTCCAAGATACAGTACTATGTACCCCAAACAACACTCCTTACCCTATACCACTCTCTAATGTATCCCTACCTCACCTATGGTATTTGTGCCTGGGGATCGACCACGGCCAACCACCTTAAACCTCTAACAATCCAACAAAAAGATGCCGTGCAGATGATCATCAGCTCCTGTGTCAGACAGCACACCCCACCACTTTTCAAAAGCTTGAACCTACTAAATATACAAAACATACATTCATATTATTGTGGCTACTATATATACAACAGAATGCAAAGTCACAATACAAAACACTCTTTGACATCCCTCATGTCTAACACCATGCAAAAATGCAATGCACATAAAGGGCCGAAAGATCTGGAATTCACCACCTGAACCAGTAAATGATCCCCTGACTGCATACAAATTAGTGCTATGCTTAAAAATCATCTCCTCTCTCAATACTAACCAAACCAACCAAAACAACATCTAACCAGTTTGAAGCAACTCTCCCAAATGTTATATGACCTCTAGTCTATTAAAACATCTACTCATACTTAAAATGGTGCTGTTTCAACCATTACTTGTAACATTTTTATTCGTTATGGGCAACATCAAGATTATTTTTCTTATAAACCTTTAGCTTTGACTACCTCGCACTAGTATATAGACAAAATAATAAATAATTAAAAAGATAACCACTCTTATCCTGTCTAAACTTAAGTAGTTTTTATTAGGATAAGTCTGCCCAGAAAATTCAGAGTGTGGAAATTAGGAGAAGGTGTGGAGTTAATAAAAGCATTAGTCAGAGGGCAGAAGAGGGGTTGTTGAGGTGGTTTGGTCATTTAGAGAGAATAGATCAAAGTAGAATGACGTGGAGAGCGTATAAATCTGTAGGGGAAGGAAGGAGGGGTAGGGGTCGTCCTCGAAAGGGTTGGAAAGAGGGAGTAAAGGAGGTTTTGTGGGCAAGGGGCTTGGACTTCCAGCAAGCGTGCATGAGCGTGTTAGATAGGAGTGAATGGAGACGAATGATACTTGGGACCTGACGATCTGTTGGAGTGTGAGCAGGGTAATATTTAGTGAAGGGATTCAAGGAAACCGGTTATTTTCATATAGTCGGACTTGAGTCCTGGAAATGGGAAGTACAATGCCTGCACTTTAAAGGAGGGGTTTGGGATATTGGCAGTTTGGAGGGATATGTTGTGTATCTTTATATGTATATGCTTCTAAACTGTTGTCTTCTGAGCACCTCTGCAAAAGCAGTGATAATGTGTGAGTGTGGTGAAAGTGTTGAATGATGATGAAAGTATTTTCTTTTTGGGGATTTTCTTTCTTTTTTGGGTCACCCTGCCTCTGTGGGAGACGGCCGACTTGTTGAGAGAAAAAAAAAAAAAAAAAATACTTCTAAACTGTTGTATTCTGAGCACCTTGCAAAAACAGTGATTATGTGTGAGTGAGGTGAAAGCATTTTCTTTTTGGGTCAGCCTGCCTCGGTGGGAGACAGCCGACTTGTTAAAAAAAAAATAAAAAAGTCTGCCCAAAATACCCCAGCATGACAGTGACTTTCTTTGTACTTAACAGATCAAAATTGTCATTACACACTGTAACCTTTGGAAAGAAATAAAATCTTTATCTTTATTTTATAAACTTACTCAGTGAAAACAATTAATAGGAATTACATACTGAATATTATGGTTCCAGTCTCTATCTTATGGTTTAATGTGGTCTTCTGTTGATAAATGTGATTTGCTTAATGCATTTTTTATTAAATGAGTCATTCCTCTGGTCCCTATCTAAAATTGTTTAAGTGGGGGTCCATTGCCTATTTGTTTCTAGGAATACCATTCTCATCCTCTTCCCACCACCAAAAAAAAAAAAAAAAATACATATTAAAGAGGATGGTGAGTAATTGCAAGAGGACATAGCCAGACCTGGTTAAATAAGCAGCTGGGAGAATTGAATCTTAAGAAGCAAGAAAAATAACTTAAACTGGGTGCCAGGGAATAGTAACTCGAGATGGCATGACACCAGTGAAGGGAAAAAAAAAATTTAAACCTGACATCAAGCCTGTCAATTTATTTGTGGATTATTCTGTGCAATGAATGGTGGAGGCTCAATCTTCCATCCACTAAGAATGAATCGTGCTACCTAGCTGTACTCCAGCTCCTGGCATAAATGGAAATGGCTCTAATATTGTACATAAATACAAATACTGTACTTAAAAGTACACACAAAAAAAGTATTTCCCTTGATATCTTTACTCATCAGGTTTAAACTCCTGCTATTGTTAGTGAACCCTTTTAATTCAGCGACCTAATCTTCAAAACACGTTTCACCAATGACAAAATGTTTTTCCTCAATGAAGATAAAATTACGGCTACTGAC